CAGGTTCTCAATCGGATTGAGTTCGGGACTTTTAGCTGGCCACTCCATCAGCATAAAATCTTAGTTTTGTAACCATTCGCGGACAGTTTTGGCAGTGTGCGTCGGATCCCCATCTTGATGAAAAATGATTTCCTTTACGGGGTATGCACACTTGTCCAGAAAATTGGGTAGACAGGTTTTCAAAATATTTAGATGGTCTTCTTTTAACATTATACCATCAATTTTATGCAATGGTCCAATGTGCCACCAAGTAAAGCATCCCCAAACTTTGACATTGCCTCCTCCATGCTAAACGGTTTGCTTCACATGGTGTGTTTGAAGCTTTTCCCCGGACCTGTGCCAATAGTATTGCGTGCCATTTGATTGAAAACGGTTGAACTTGGATTCATCCGACCAGATAAAACGTTTCCAATCATCTACAGTCCAGTTCTTGTGTTCCCGGGCGAATTTCAATCGACCCTTGACATTCTTCTTGGATAGAGCTGGTTTATTTTGTTTCACACTTGCCCCATATCCAACCTTAGCTAGTGCTCTTCTAGCCACCCGCCGACTCACGTCTTTCCCTATGTCCATAGATGCCTTCTTCGGTGTTAGGAACTTATCAGTTCCCATTAGTCTGGCGTCAGAGTCCTTTAAGAGTCGTTTGCGGCCTTTAATAGTGTTTTTGGATGTACCATTGCGTCTTTTCTGGACTTCGGACACCGCTGAATGAAAAATATTAAGCTGATCTGAAGTACTACGAGTCGAACAGCCACTTTCAGTTAGGCTAATAATACTATTTTCGACATCTGACGAACGCTTCTTCATTTTTTCGCGGTACTTTGTAGACTAATTGCTAAAATTAAAAAATCTACTTCAAATAATAAGAAACACGTGGATTTCTGGATCATAATAGTGTAGAATGCATAAATAAAACATATAAGGGTAAAACTGCATGTGTATTGCCTATAAGAGAATTAAGAAATCAAACCAAAGTAAAAATATCGGAAGGTGCAAAATTGTACACATGCGTTTTGTTTCAGTTTTCTTCGTTTGAATATTTTACTGATTATTTTTTGTTTTTGTTATATACGGCAATTTGTTAAGAATTAAATACATATTATTGGAAAAAAAAGTTTTTTTGATTTGCTTCATTCGTTTAGAAATTATCGACTCACAAAGTTGAAAGTGTCAACTATGGAAACACTTTTGCTCCCTACTGTATATCTATACCATATACTATTTGCAATATTTGCAATTTATGGCGTCCATACTGTACCATTAAATATATGCTGCAAGAGGTTTTCGTCGCTGCAACTGCAACTTTTAAGTTGCAGTCGACGACACTAGCTGTCTCCCTATCGCCCTCTTCCTCTCTCTCTCTCTCTCTGCTGACGTCATGCTTTAAGTGAATTTCTTTGCAGCTTGTTGTTGGGCTGCTGCTGCTGTTGCTTGTATTGCCCGCTCCTGTGTCCTGGCCACAGGGTGGGGCGTGGCAGTTAGTTGCGTGTCTAGGCGCCCTATGCCATGCTCCGTCGCACAGCCGACAGCCGGCAACCCTTGTCGGTATATAACTATGTGGCGGCTGCTCCCCAGCCCACGGCAACGCATTTACATGAATGTTAAAATTTTATTGCCGTCAGTGCGGCCCGCTGGCGCGCTCCACCTTCGGGTTGGCTCATTTTTCGCTCCTTTAATAACCTTTGCCATGAACTTTGTAACGGTTTTAAAAAAGTAAAAACGAAAATAATAACAACGCCAGCAACAGCAGCGTCAATATAGATATTGATCTACACTTCCAACATTCGAAACACCCATTTCATCCCGTTTGGCATACCTTGCCGTAATTAAGCAATAGATTCTACATTCGATACTGCTTATCTTATCGCTTATCGATTTACATTTATCTTATCGTTGTGGCAGCCCCCAAAAACAGACGATCACACGCTTATTTATGAAGTATTTACCAAGTATTATCCAATACATTTGTGGATTCATTCGTTTTGAAATCAATTCGTCTCATGCTATACCAATATTGGATATGGGAATTTCTTGAATACATGTTGCGTTTATCTATATATTGTAACTTATATAACTATATGTAAGCTGTTACTTATTTCTTAATTCAGTATAATCAGTCCGCCTATGAGAATCGCATAGTAAGGCACTGAAAATGTCCGATTTTGCAAGTGATTGCTGTAGGAATATATAAATTGATTATATATATATTTGTATATATCATGAGATGCATATACACGCACACGCACTCAATTATATACTCACAGAAAGAAGGAAATATTTATGCACTTTCAGTTGAGAACTTCGCTTATTTCTGGCTGTACACTTAACGTTCATATGTTAGTCATTCAATCATTCACCAATGAATCAATCTTATAAAAAAAAAAAATATATATATATATATATATATAAATATTTCATTCACATTCATGGCTATGTGTTGTGTGGCAAATTTCTTTGCAATTGCTTATTTAAGAATGTAGACACCGCAAATTTCAATTACACTTTGCCAATGCGTGTGTGTGTATGTGTGTGTGCGTGAAGTTGCAGTTACGTGACCGTCGGTCTAGGCGTGCAGCTGCCTTTTGTGGCCACACGTGAAGACGTGCTTCCCAAAGCTGCATAAAATATTAAATTTTTAAAGAGACTGCCGGAAATTGAGGGCAAAAATAGGTCCAAATAAGCGAACTCGAGCTGATGAAAGTTCAGTTTAAGCTCCAGTTTTCATATACATATGAAAATTGATTAAGCACACAATATTTTTTTTATTAGCCTGTTTTTGAAGCAACTCTCTTTTTCACACTTCACAAAAAAAAAGAAATATTTTTGTATATTTGTTTGATTTATTTATATCAGTTTTTTACTGTCTGCGAACTTTATGCGAATATAAAATATATTTATTTATATTGATTGATACGATAAAATCGAGTTTGGTGGGGGAAATTTTTAACTATATCAACAATATTTACAAATTTTATAAATAAATAAAAACCATTTTCATTTTTTAACTGTAACTTTTTATTTTATTTTAATTAATTATTAAGTAATAAAGAAAGGTGTCATATCTGAGCTGCATAAAATATATTTATAAACATTTAGTTTCGCATTTGTAGAGAAAAAGATAATGATTAGTAAACAGACTATATAAAGCTGGATAGTCTATATAAGCACACAAAGCATACACTCACCTTTATTATCATTCTTTTTGGTTAAGTATGTACTAAAGATTAAGTTTATACTAAACTCTGCTAGTTCGTTAAACCGACAAAGAAACTCTTTATAACCGAAAAACCGTTTTCTGTTTTTTTTTTTTTAATGATTCGCTTAGTAAAGTGCAGTTAGATAAGTAGAAATAACATTCTACTATCGTTATATTTTTATTTTATATATTTAATCAATTTTATTTATTTATGGAATATAGCGTCATCACTGACGCTCGATTTTCTTTATTCAAAAAAAAGTTCTATGAAATCTTCCCATTTCTAGCTATAGAACAAAAAAGTTCCTACTACATTTATCTGTTCAAAATGTTCTTTAGCCTTTCCAATATGATAATCTAGCTGCTTTATATATTCGTTTCTATTCGATTTGTGCTTCTTCATTTATTATTGCACCTTTATCTGTAGCCAAGTTTTTATTGGCACGAGCTGCTGAAATGAATAAAACGGCCCAAGTACCTAACTGAGCCTCGAGTTGGTGCGATAAGCGCGACGAATTGAGCTGATAATGACGACATACCCTAGACAAACACGCTCAGGGCGGGGCATGCCAAACGTTGAAGTGCGTGTGACCACTCTCACTGTCAACTGCTGTCGACGCTTGAATCCATCAGGTGTCTCTTTAGCCTTGTTTGCCATGTAATTTGATTATTTCAGCTTTGCGAATACTCTATTACTGAATGACAGCAACGTCAGAGGCCTGTAGATAGGCCCAGTAAGAATAAGAATTTTAATTTTGACATATCTGCAAACCAATTATTGATTACACTTATCAGCAATCAAAATGAATAGAAAAGTCAACAGGTAAAATTACGTGATTAACGCAAATTGTTTTATGGGCTAATGTTCAAGCGTCAATTCTATGAAAAGTTTATTTCACAATCAAAAATTCTAAAATATATTTTTCTAAATTGTTTTCTTTGAAAAATATGCTTTCAGCTTTAAAATAAATCTGTATTAAACTATATGTTATAGCATTCCATATGGAAATCAAATTAGTTTTCAAGCTAAAATGATTTCAATTTAACTTTTTTCAGCTAACAAACAGCTTTTTTCTAAGCCTGAAAATGCAGAAATACTTGAAATATTTTTTCAAAAGTTCCCTTTTATCATTTCAAAGTTCGTTTCTATTTTATTGAAATTTTATATTATTTATACGAGACCTCGAATCTTCTGTCTTTGCATTTTAGCTTGAAAACAGCTAAAGCGTGCAGCACTCTGCGCAGCTATCAATAATAGGGTGTGGGTCATTAAATTGAACTTCGACTCGAACTCTTGGCCAACGGCTCGCTCGCCCACTCGGACCCACTGAGTGCTCGTCCTTTCGCCAGTTGCCAACACGTTTATAGCAAAATTAACTTGTCATATATATATGTGTGTGTGTGTGTGTGCTCCACTCACCCAATATCTCTCTCTCTCTCTCTCTCTCAGTGCCTCTTTTGCCAGCTTAGGTCATGGCGTGCTCAATTAAATTACTGTTTATTCTTCGCACCTGTGTGCGCGCCTAGCAGATAAATCGCTGATTGATAGCGAAGCAAAAAATATATATTAATATAATTACAGTATAGCCTGACTAGTATGAACATGACTTGGTACTCTTAAATAATATTCTTATAATATAAACAGCTAAGCGTTTTCTAAACGCACTAACTAAAAGCTAATCAAATGAAGTGTTCAGAACTTTGGTGTTTTTCTTAGCCAGTCTTTACTGTACTTTAGTTTTGCAGCACTTATTTGTATTCCATTAATAATTGTTGTCAATTTCTTCCGTTTGTCTTTTATCAGCCACGTCAATTGTCAAATAAATGGCAAAGCCACGCAGAAAACGCTTCCGTTCGAGGTGCAACCAGAAAGCAGTGAAAGCTCAGGTGGCGCACTATAATAATGGCTGCAGTAGTTAATCGTGCCACAAGCAACAACAACAGCAACAGCAGCAGCAACAGCAACAACAACGGCAGCAGAAGCAGCAGCAGCAGCAGCAGCAACATGCCTAAACGTTATTTAGGCATTCTCTTCTTTTGCTGCTTTCTGTTTATTTGGCGAACTATCACAGATGAGCCGCCGCCAGCCGCAACAGCAACATCAACATCCCAGCAGCAACAGCAATCGAGTGCCAATGGCAGTAAACCAAACCAAATAATACACGACCCTAGTCGCACTCAGCCACTTAGTAGCAACCTTAGTAGTTATTCTAATTATTATTATTATAGCCCTAGCCTAGTTAGTGTAGATAATGCGGCGACGCCCGCACCAATGGCCACAGCAGCCACATCATTCCAGCCGTCGCATCAACCACTGGATGCCAGCCAGCTGATCGATCTGCACCACTTTGGCTATCTGATGGAGCAGCCGGCCTGTGAATCGCATATTCTGGCGCTGATCCTGGTGCATACGGCGCCAAGGAATGCCGAGAAACGTTTGCTCATACGGCAAACCTGGGGAGGATCGGGCCTTACAGCTGCGTCATCGCCGCTGCGCGTTGTCTTCCTATTGGGAGCCGTGCCCCAGGCGGAGCCACAGCTGCAGCACACACTGGAGCAGGAGAACGCCAGATTTGGAGATATGGTGCAGGGCAACTTCCAGGATGCCTACCGCAACATGACCTACAAGCATGTGATGGCGCTCAAGTGGTTCAACAGCCACTGTTCGCATGCCCAGCTGCTCATCAAGGTGGACGACGATGTCTATGTGAATACGCCGCAGCTGCACAAACTGCTACGCGAGCAGCAACAGCAACCCGCACCGTTGCATCCGCAACAGCAGCCCAACTTGAATCGAACGCTGTCGCTGCGGTCGCTGCTGCAGCAACCGCACGAGCTGCTCTTTTGCAAGCCTGTGCTCAAGTCACGTGTGAAGCGCTCCTATCGAGTGAGTATTTAGCTGACTTATGTGAAAAGCCTTTTATAAGTCTCATATAATATCAATCCTACTCTCTTTTGGCTACATTTGAAATATGAATGCGAGTGAAACAACATTGCGTAAAGCCGTAAGATTATTTATCCATGGACATTCCCTTCTTTTGGCTTACAGCTAGTATTTACAAGTTATACCCTATGAATTAGCATCTTTTCACACTCATTTGGAACCTTCTCTGCCCAAAAATCTTATCCAAAATTATATAAAACTCGAGTCCAGCATAGAAAATTGTTAAGCTCCATTAAGAAAAGAGTCCAAAACTTGCTGTCACACACATTGGCGAAAGTGTCAAATTAGAAAAGTTGTTTATTTTTAATAATTTAGCCAAATTTATGATTTCTCTCTGCATTCCGTATGCATTATTCCTAAGCCAACGTAAAAACTAAAGCAACAGCCATTAAGCGCCATCTAGTGTTAGCTTTAAGTATTAAACTCTTCTAAATACCCCGCAATCAGCTAATCTTAGTCTCTCTTATTCGCAGTCAAAGTGGCGCGTCAGCTTTCGAGAATATCCCGCCCATTATTATCCGCCGTATTGTCCGGGCTTTGCGATCGTCTATTCGCCGGATGTGGTGCAGCGTCTCTACCAGGCAGCGCAGCGCAGCAACTACTTCTGGGTGGACGATGTGCATATAACTGGCGTCCTGGCACAGCGTACAAACACAACGATAACCACTCTGCAGCCATATGTGCTCTATGAGACGGACTGTGAGCGCTTGCTGAGCGGCGAGGGCGACTTGAGGCAGCTGGAGTTTCTGTTCACGTGGCACAGCATCTCACCGGAGCAGGTGAACAGCTTGTGGCAGTTGCATGTGGCACAGAACTATACAAATATGCAGCTGGATGCAGATGTCGGCCCGGAGACGGGCTTAAGCTAGCTTTAAATATATAAGGAGAATTTTTTTGGCTGTTTTTAATTCTCTTTACATTGTATTCAGGGTTCGTTTCCCTCTCTCTCTCTAGATATATACTTAAGTTGTTAATCTAGACCTTAGTGTTTAGTTTATTAGTTATTTAACTTAGTTAGCATTTGATAGTTGATGATGATGATGAAGAGGAGGACGAGGAGGAATATGAGAAGAAGTTGATAAACATTGCAAGTCAAGTGAACCACCAACCACCTGCCTACAATCATTCGTATATATCATATTTGATAGCATATATAACTGAAGCATAACGATAAAGCTACCGATAAGTCATATATAAAGTTAAAGCCTCTCTGGGTGATAAATACAAACAACACACACATACACATGCACATACATACATACACACATACAAACATTCGCATATGCACAAATCTTAAGAAAAACAACGCAAAAGAAACAAATTTTATTTCGAATAGAAATGAGAAATAATTGCAAGTCATGACAAAACGGCAAATGTTTGGCGTACTTAGTAAATCAAATGAAAATTTACCAATAATGTATTTTTTGTATTCGTCTATAGCAAAAATAAAACTATCTAATTTTTATTATTCAATTGAATAGAACAAAAAAAAAAAAAAAGAAAAAACGAAATACAAATGAGAAAAACGTGAGTTAATAGAGGGAACATTAAAGCCAGGAACGTTAACACAAATATCAAAATGAGAACGAAAGAAAACGAGAAATGTAAAATGAGTAAATATGAAAAATTTGTAACAAATGAAATTTATAAATGTCTAAATGAAATTAACTAAATGTTCAAGTTTGTCAGAAATTATATACATACATACATATAAATATATACATGTGTATATACAAAAGAACAAATGAATATAAATAAAGAAACAAAACTTACAAATTGTACAATGTAAACGATAAAAAAAAAAATTGTTAAATTCATTGAAGTGAGCTAAAATGGCACTGCTTGGTTCGTAGGGCAGTGCACACCATGCAGTGCACAAAGCAGTTTATTTTGCTGAACTGCGCAAGCGTCTAGTGAAATAGCATTCAGCTTTGAGGTGTGCACTTCGAGCAGCCTATGTTAAATAACAATTACGATAAAACAAGCTCCACATTTAGAGCTTTAGCTTTATACAGAAGCAGCTGCTAAAATTTTTTAATATCCTATTTCAAAGCTCATGATATGCGCCAAGCAGTGCAATTGGTAAGTTCTGACGTTGCGTCTCATGGCAATCGGCTTTCGTCTAGCTACATACGCGGCACATTTGAAATTCAATAACAAATTTAATTGCAATTAAAAGGTTAATGCTGATTGCAGTGTGCAAAAAATGTCGACAAATAGCAAAGCGTGTGAATTATTAACGGAGTGCCTGGAAACGAAACAGCTGCACCCAAGGACATGCGAAAAATATCAGCTTATCTCCTCCATACGCCACGTTGAACAAACACAGCACAACTTTGACATTGGCCACATGTATATTTATTTTAAGCACACGATTTGGAGTGCATGCGCTAAAGGTTTGTTTTTTTCCAGCCATCCATATTTGATATCGATGGGCCCTGCACGCCCACAACTGGTAAAGTGTGAGCCCCTTGGCCTTTTCACGGCGCTAATGACAACGTCTATTTGCCACAAATTGTTGCATGTTCGATGGTGGTTCAGTGTGCGCTCGCTGGTCAGCGCGTAAGGACATCAGAAACAGGGACAAAGCTTGTTGACTTGCCGTTGTTTGTTTGCTTTTTTGTTCGACTGTTGCTGCAAAATGGGTTCGGTAAGCCAATTGAGATCTTTTTTGTTGCGTATTTACTTTAGCTCGGGCTTAGACAAAGCAAGACGAGTGGCGCAGAACAACAGACCAAGCTTGAAGTGTCGTCGCCGCCTTCGTTAGCTGCAAATTATTTACAAGTGCAGGCAGGCCAGCAACTCAGACTTCAGCTGCTGCAGCCATTGCGTTCCACACGAAACCAACTCTAAACAAAAACCGTGCGTGGATGCTGTTCGCGCGAAAAGCTCACAATTCAAACTTTAAATGTGTGTCAAGTTGTGAAGTTCGAATCCCTTATACACATTCCAGCAGCAGTAGCAGCAGCCGCAGCAGCGCAGGAGTCGTTGCCCCTGCGAAAAGCGCGCCGGCGCTTAGAAGTATGCTACAAAATGTTGTTGCCGCAGCTTCTGCTACTGCTGCTGCTACTCTTAGCGGCTGCTGTGTGCTCGTCGGCAGCTGTCGAACTTCTGTTTGGCCAGTGTTTTCTCAATTTTGTCATCTTTGCTGTTGTTGTTGGCGCTTTTTTAGTACAGCCTGATGCTCGTGCTGGTCGCTTCGTGCGCTTCAGATTGCCTCGGCCTGGCTATAAAATGTTTTGTTTTTCTGCAGTTTGTTGTTAGTGCTGAACGGTGAACGGGCAGCATTTGGTTGCCATCATCATCATCAACAACATCTCTCGCACAAACACAACACATTCAACCAGCGTACGAACGTCTGCCTGTTTATAAGACGCTATCTTCACAGCTCTCCTATGTATCTCTGTATCTATGTGTGTGTGGGCTAAAAATAGCGCCCAAAATCAAGTGAGCAACAAAGCAGCAGCAACACAATAAACAGGCAAAGACAATCAGAGCCAAAGGCCAAACCATAACAGAGAGTGCAAATTGTATAAAAACAGACGGAAACCGACGAATTTCACTAAAGTGCAGCAACCACAACAGGTGTTTCAGCTTTAATTACGAATTAATCGACAAAACATTTTCGACCAAATACACACACACATGTGTGTGCCTGTGTGTGTGTGTGTGCTTAACTGATTTGCTGCTCGCACGTGCAACAAAAGATGGTTGAAGAGTTTCTAGAGAAATTGCCCGAAATCGACACACGTTACGAGGTAAGTAGCGTATCCTGCTGCTGCGGCCTTCTACTTTTCAGCATATGCTGCAAGTTTCGCTGCGGGTAATCGCATTGCCAGGACAATGGTCCTGCCACACGCACAGCCCGCTGTGCTGCTGAGCCACATAGCAAATGGCAAATAGCTAAAGTGGAGCGCCTTTTGTTTCACAGCCGAGCCACCTGCGCGACATCCTGTCGTCCTTTTATCCTAGCTTAAGCTGCTGTCGCTGCTCCCGCTGTTTGTTGCCTTCTTCAAATTACATTTCCCATATTACGCGCTTCGAGGCGAATGTAGGCCGGATATTTAATCAGTTTGCAGCAGCAGCATTTGCTTTTCGACTTTCGCGAATGCAAGTTTTAGTCAAATATTTGACATTTCCTTCAACTTGCGCTGAGCTGGCTTTGGATCAGCCAGCTGACATCTATGCTACAGCTGCCTCAGCAAACTCTGCATGCAGCTCAAGTAACTAATTCGCATTGCAGTTGAAACTTGTTTTATTTGCTCTTCAGTTCAGTTCATACTGAGGCGAGACTAAGTTGAAATAATTAGAATTTTGTTCTCTACTCTTTTGTTATGAAGCACAGCCTTTGAGCTGCGTGGATGTGCAAATATATAGCCCTACAGCTAGGCTCTACATAGCCAAGCCTAGGCACAGCTACAGCTGATTTGCCACTTTTGATGCTTTGAATTTGTAATCGATTCGTGTTTAGCTAAGATTTTTGATTCGAGCTGAACAGCTAAAAATTCATTTCACTCAACATATTAAAGCCTAAATTCAGTGCGTCAAGCTGCCAAGTGAAAGTCCTTAGACAAATGACAAGCTTTAGCTGAAGCTCTTAATTTGCTTATACGGCCTTTGCCAGTTTTTCTTCTCCCTTTCATTTAGCAAATCTTTAGTTGACATGAAGTAGCTGAAAGCAAAGATTAGAATTGTCAGCTTGCTTGACTAAAAGGCAGAGTTATTTTAATATATGCTCAATCAGCTCATTATTGATCGAGCCTAGTTAAACGCTTCGCAAACTAATCAAAAACTAATTAAACTCTATTGATTATTAGCATTGAGCGCCATAAGTTCAAATCCCCAAAGTGTTTCCTGCAATCTAGCAATCTCAATCCATATCAACGATATAGGAAGAGACAACGTGAACTATGCCAAAGGCAAAAGCCGCTGAGAGTTAAGACAACAGGCGACAGCTTAAAAGCTAATTAGCGCACTTGCGAGCCGGGTCATGAGGGCCAGCAGCTACAGCAAGTCAGGGCCAGCAGTTTAGCGCGCACGTTAACTTTATTAGCCACAGACAGCTTGCTATATACATACATACATATATATATATATATATATATATGTATATATATATATTAGTGTGTGTGTATGTCTATGTCTAATCAGGCAATGCTTTTTTAACAATGGCCATTCACAAGCCTTTTATGCCCCACTAACTGGCGTGCAAACAATGCCTGTAAACTAATAAACTTGTGAGGGCATCTGAGAGCTATGTGTGTGTGTGTGTGGGTGTGGGTGGGTGTATTGCCTGTGTGTGTGTGCGCAATCGCGATCAATAAAAGTTAATTATTCAATACAACAAGCTATAAACTTTCACTCGCACTAATCCAAACACAATGTGTGCTTCTATATATATATATATAACTATAAATCTATATGTATGTGTGTGTGTGTGTGTGTGTGTGTGTGTTTGCCGTGTGAGCCTTTGTTTGCCTTACAGCTGTATGCGGCAAGCTGGCAGCGAGGCAGCTGCCCCCACCCCTCGCGCATCGCCTTGCCTTTTGGTCGCTTTGTCAGCTGCGTTTGTCGCTGCGGTCGCCACAGTCGCCACAGTCAACAATTTAACCGTTAATTTACATTACAAAGTAGCTGCCACAACCACCAAAATAACAACAACAACAACAACAACAACAATGTTATTAAACAAGCGCCCTAAACTTAAAAAACATTTTTCAACTGACTTTATAAAGTTCAGCTGGACATATGGCAAAGCTCAGCGCTTGGCCTACAAGTGCTAATGCACTGAGAGAAATCTTTTGCATAATTAATAAATATAATATAGTATTCTTATGTTACTTTAAAGTATATGTTTCAAAGCGAGTCTATATGAAAAGTGAAAGCTTGCGAGCAAAGAGACACTTGCAGCTAAAAGCTAATATGCCCGCTTAGCCTAAGTGAGCGGGCATGCATAAATAATAGCACAGCAATAGTGTGACTTGTGTAAATTAACTTAATGAGCTTGTATACTGTGCTATTTAATGAGCTCATGAGTGCATAGTTGGACTACAAAAAAAGGAGAAGAAAAAGAAATGAAAAGAAAATTAATTATTTAGTAATTCTAACTAATATAGCTCTGACTAAGTATGGGCATACAAATTGTCTATCATTCATTCAAAGTTCACTCTTTTTTCTTGCCGTGCAGCCAGTGCCATTTGCGAGCTAATTGAAACTCAAATGTCGCGCCACAAATTGTGCTCAAGTTTTGCTCTTTAGGCCACAAATTTATTGAATTATCATCAGCAGCAGCATCCGCAGGTGGCAAAAGAAAGTTGATGAAATTTATTTACCTACAGCATTACGTATAGATTTGCTGGCAGCCAGCTGCGACTGCTGCTCTGTTTATATGCAAACAAAAAAGCAATTTGTGTGAACATTTTAATTGAAGCCTAGTCCACAGCTACCTGTGTGATACACTCATATACACACACGGCTATGTAGCTGTTGGCATGCAGCCAGAAACTTTGACAGCTCGTGTGGCACTGTGGCAGGCAAATGCTCGTTGAAAACTTTGTCACATTCTGCAGGACGAAAAAACATTTTCAATATGCAAAAGTCGTTAATATGGCAGGCGCAGAGGCGTGGCATGCCACTTCTCTTTCTCTATCTGTACTTCTGCACGTGGCCTATGCGTAACATGCTGCATAATGCGTGTTTAGATCAAAATTGAATTGCGCATTTTACATGGCGTATACGTGATGCCCATTTTGACAGCCCGCAACGCGTCGCGCCTCGTCTGGCTGCGACAGATTAAACTGAAAGTTATTGTCAATTCGGCTGAAAGATGAAGCCGATAGCCAAGACCAAAAAATGAAAATAAATCATTCTGCGCATTGCTGGCCTCTGATTTATGGCCAAAGAGCATTTGGCTATTTACTGTCTGCATGTTTTGCATTTATTTATGCTATTTGCTTTTGGCCCCCAGCATTTGCAGCTAGCAAAATGTATAGAAATTTGCAATTTTATTGCTTCATTATGGAGACGATGAATGAATATGATTCATGAATAGCAAACAGCATGGAGAGTGCTCGAATAGTTGATTATTTGTACTTCATAATTGTTATAAATTTGAAGGAGCTTGGCCTGGCTGAACTACCTTTAGTCTGCCTCCCTCTCCCACTAGAATTTAAATCACATCAATCAAGTTCTATTTGTTTTCATATTTTTAAATGCATTCGAAGTTGATCGATTGTCAAGGATTGAATTTCAATTAACAAATTGAAATTTTAGCGATTCGATGTCATTTTTTAAGCTCCTCAACTATGTGAAATGTTTGGCATAACTTTTGAGACTTTTGTGAAAGTTTTTGGCATAAATTGTAATCAGAAAGTGAATCAAATCCATGGGAATGGAAGGTTAGGGTATAAGGGCTTAGTAAACATGTCTTTAACAGGCAGAAGAAGGCGTGGCAGACATCTTAAAGTATATAAATTCTGAAACAGAAAGATGAGCTGAGTCGATATAGGCTGTGTGTGCAACTGTTGTTTGTTGTGTCTGCATAAAGGCAGCGCAGAATGATTCGTATGACAGCTCCACGCAGGGCTCAGGGTATATGCAAGTCAGGCACTCCCTAGGAAGCTACTACTTGTAACAAATGCATTGCTAGAATTTGATTTATTTAATGGAAATTCTTCAAGAGCCAAGTCAAGCTAAGTTAAACAGGTTACAGCCATATTAAGCTCGACAGGCTTTGCTTCTTCTTCATCATCAAGCCAACAATTGCTGACATGAAAACATTTCGATTTATATGTTAGACTACGTATACGTAATAAGATTTAAAGACTGAACTGCATTTGACTAAGTTAGAGTTATTAAAAGCCTGATTTAAAACATCTTTGAACTATGAAAGCTCAAAGAGTGCAATCTTCTTAACAAAGCATTCCAGATAAGACAGAATATATAAAATATCTATAAATAAGACTTATTTGTCCTTAAGTAGCGCTTACTCTAAGCTCCAAAAAATATGCTAACTTCAACTAAGGGCGCCTTACTTCATGCTTCAACGTCACAACTGCTCAATATTCAATCAAACAAACGATGCCATGAATTGCTAAACAGTTTATTTGCAGAGTATCAATCATAATTGCCGCAATTTAATTCACATTCCATGTGCTGTCCTTGTTTGGCCCGTTTAGTTAGGCAAGTTTTCATACAAAACGTTTTATCTGCTAATTCCCACATTGGCTCAACGTTCAGCTGGGCCAAATGCGTTTATTACAGAACTAATCCTGTAGGACAATGGCCAACTCGGCTCACTGCAAATTTCATTAATAAATGTCGACGAGCGCACAGAAAATAATCCATTTTACTCAATGCCCCCAACGAGCAGGGCAAAAAGGCTGTGGGGCACGGAATTGTGACTGAGAGGCAGAGAGAGGGCGGCTGGGTGCGTGGCAATGGGAAGTTGAGGGCGAAAATGTGGCAGCTGAATGCAAACAATAAACATTGAAAAATATCACAGCTCGACGGGTGAACGCAGCAGCAGCAGCTGCTGCTGATGTTTACGCTGCTGCAGGCACTGCAAAGCCGAAGCCAAAAGCCGGGCAACATGCGGCAGGGTGGGGCGCGGCGGGGCCAGCATTTAAAACCGCATACGGCAAATGCTTTTGTTGGCACAATATGAAAAGTGCAAAGGGAACAAAAAAACACAATTTATCTACTTCATATTTTTTGGGTGAAACAACCGCAACGAACAGCACGAAGAGCTGTGTGAGCGCGTGGGCCGCACAAGTGGATTCATAAAGCGAACAATCACAAAAAAAATAAACCAAAGCAAAGCAAATCTTTACCGAAGATTAAATATCCTTTTGTGCTGCATGTGCATATAAAGCAGATGAGCCAAGTATTGTCTCGATTGAAATGTGTGTCAATTGTTTCAATGCGAGAGGTATGCGAGAGTGAAGGCATTCGCAGTGTAGTCTTGAGTGAATCATAAATTAAATATATTTAAATAAAGATTTAGTTTGCAGTACGCAAATACACAGATGAAGCTAAATGCCCTAAGCTGAGATGAAAATAATTTAAAGTAAAATAAAACTTCATAAAAAATATAAAACTTCATTGTAGAAGAAAATTCTTCTCGTTGTTTGTCATTTTATGAAAAAAATAATATTTTATGAACTTGCTAGAGATATAAAAGAAACAATATATATATATATGTATATATATATATATATATAGCTAAAAAGAAGAATATTTTTCTATTGCTCTTATGACTCAATAGTTCTGCTTCTGGCTAATGCCAGCTACTCAAGCATGAACCTGGCATTGAGGATTACCTCATTCGGGTCTCTTTATCTACAATGCTGACGCCAGAGTAATTGATGAGCAACCTTAATGTACAAAAGCATCGAGGGACAACAGAAAAAACATTCGCTCCAATTACACGCCATGACAATAACGATAAGTTGTTGTTAAGGAAAGGAATTCACATTACTCTTAGATAAAAATTTTAAATATAAGACGACGATCAGTTGAGCATATGGCGCTTCAGCTGTTTGACTTTAAATATTTTAAATATTTTAGCTAAGCTCATATTATGCTATTTTTGTCCAGCTTTAAATATACAAATAATATAATTCTCTTCAGCTTACGACAGTATTAGAAAAGCCCTGAATTCCTAAAAAAGTACAGAGTTAACAAAGTCAACTAAGCTTATTAAGTTTTCATATGTTCCATAAAGGCTCAACAGCTCCGCATACCTTGTGAAAGTGTATTGAGCAAAAAGAGCAGCAGCAGTATATGGAAAATGCAGACAGTCTGACATGCTATGAGGTGTGTCCATGTTTCAGGATAAATGCAATTTGGCTGCCGTACACGCTGCTAATTAAGTTTCCAGTTGTGGACGAAGCTCAACTTCGGCAACCAGCGCTGACAAATTTTCCAGTGCAGCAAAAGTTTTTCAAATGAAAACTCATATATGTTTGTATATAAGATACTTTCCTTCTCTTTTTTTGTGTGTGTGTTTATATATAGCGGGTATATTAGTTTTGCATAAATGTGGCTTAAGTGCAGAGGAAGAAGAACATCGTGGATTATATATACTATATATTATAGCTATGAAATTTAGTTAGAGATTAAACAGATTAAATGGAAATATCGATTTGATATGTCTAACCATAGATTAATAATTTTTTATTTATTTATTTTTTCACTTTTGAATTGTAATTTTGAAATTTAATTTTCTTGACTAAAATTTTGAAATTTTTGCTGAGAAAGAATTAAAATTTTTTTTTTTAATTGCTGTTTTTATTTGCAATCTGTCTTATACTAGACAATAAACAAATTTGTTAACAATAATATTATGTAACTGGATGGCTTGGGCTCCAATGAGATCCATCCACATATTTATCTACTTTACATATTTATCTATTACTGTGGGGTATATATATATATATATATATATATTAATAATTTTTTATTTATTTATTTTTTCACTTTTGAATTGTAATTTTGAAACTTAATTTTCTTGACTAAAATTTTGAAATTTTTGCAGACAAAGAATTTAAATAACTTGAAATATTCGATAGTAAAAAATGTAAAAATTCTCAAAATACAGCAGAACTTTGAGCACTTCTAATGAAGCTAAGTTGTGCAGTGGCTTCAGTTTTCACAAGACACACAGTCATATGCCAGTTCATATCTTGGCTGTCAACTCATCCATGTTTATGCGATCTCTTTTGCAGGATATTGTGCCCATGGAACAAGTGAGCTCGATGGTCTCCAACGGTGGCGGCAGCGTAACCATGCAGCGCGACGATGAATACCGAAATCGCATCATGAAAAGTAAGTGTGTCAGTTCTCTATGAATATATATATATATACATATATGCATATATATACATATAAATATATATATATGTGTATGCGTGTATAAACATGTGTATGTTGTGTGTAGAGCACCCGAACCCCATACAGAAAAACGAAAAGCAGCCAACCTCACCAAAAAATAAACCCCCCTCCAAAGAGCCAACATATATAGAAAAGGTAACTGCTTCAGCTGCGGCTGCTGCGCTGCTGCATTTTGGTTTCTTTGCATGGGAGTATTTAACTATCCCTGACCTACTGGCTTTGCAGTTGACATAGTTTAATCCGGCAGTCGCAGCAGTCGGCAAATAAATAGCATTTCACATTTCGCTTAGCCGTATTGCACGCCCCTCCACATGCCCCCAACCCCCTCCGCCCAACCCCTCACACATGCCTTGCATGCGATGCCTGCATGGATTAGAGACTTAGTTCTAAATACAATATTGCATTACATATAGATTTACACACACACATTTATATATGTACAAATATATTTATATAAATAAATAATTTCAACTAAACATTTCATGTTGCTTGCCCAACAAATTCGCCGAATTTGGAAAACGCTCTCTGTACAAATTTGCATAACAAACAAATAACAAACGCATCATCAACCAAACAACCAACTAAAATCAAAATAAATAAACAACCAACCAAACCAACTAACCAACCAAAAAAAACAAAAAAACCGCTTCTCTCTCACAACTTTCTCGCTCATCTGTAGTACGTAGACTTGGTGAGTGCTAAAACTAATTGAAATTGAAATACAATAAATATTTTTCATTTAATTTCGTAAATTACACAATGAATACATGCGTATGTATTCGCCTACCGTAAGTATAAATATTCTATGAATTTTCAATTTGCATCTGATTTTCCATTATATTTTTGCTCAGCAATTGAATTAGTTTAGCCAAATTGCAAGCTGCAAAGTGCATTTACATAACTAAATCATGTTCTGCATAAAGTGCGCAAACTTGCGTTTGTGTGTGTGTGTGAATGAGTGTGTGGGTGTGTGTGTGTCTGTGTGTGCACAACACATTAGGCTAACATTTGCTAAGTGCTTTGCAACCATAAAGTTGCGTCTTGTGGCCGAGCAAACTGTGCTTAACTGTGCACTGGGGCGTATACTTGATATTTGTTTCAGCTGCTAAGAGTCTGTCTCCCTCACTCGCACTGACTGTATCTTCCTTTGCCTAAGGCCGTAACGATGATTATATCATGATAAGTTTGTCCACACACAAGCGGACAGGCGACATCTTCATTTGACGCTTTCCAGTTGCTCGTAATAACAGAACACATAAACCATCATCTGCACTCGACTCTAATGACCAGTGCGACCTGCAAATAACAACGAAGCTGAGCAAATCATGGCCTGCAAATACCCTGTAGAGCATAGGGTTCTAAAACTAAATAAAACTAGGATGCAGATTGATTTCATTGGCAGGCAAATTTATCTCTATCCGTCTTCATTCGATTCTTGTTTGTCTTATTTCTTCCTCCTTGCCCAATCTACCCCGCCATTAGCTGTGAGCCAGGGCATCACAAAGCTGACAATGCACAACACAGTGTCGAGCATTTTTCATCATTAGTTAATTAAAGCCTGTCCCTTTGGTCTCGCCCTGACCTCAGCCTCTCAAATGAGTCGACCCGTTCGACTATTTAGGTCTCTAATTTAGCATTAACTGGGATCTTAGCAGCAGCTGGCAGCTGGCAGTTGGCAGCTGATACTCTCGTACACTCATTTCGCAGCGAGCGCAACGAAACCAAAAGTAAAACAAATAAATTGCAGGCTAAACAAAACGCAGCACAGCAAACAGATGGCCAAAATAAAAGAAATTAAAATTGCTAGACGGTCCACGGTCCACGTTCCACTTTGATGACCCGCTGGCCACTCGCCCCCCGCCCTCTCTCTATCTCTCTCGCTCTTTTCTTTACTCTGTCAACTGCGGCCGCAAAGACAAACACAAAACGCAGCCAAGGCTCGGCCCCTGGCGTTGGCTGCCAACCAATCGAGCACCACGAAGGAGCAGAAAGACGGCACAGCACAGCGCCTAGTTCAATGCACCGACTGAGCCTTGGCGAAACTTAAGAAAAGCGCCTAAGCCTCAAATACGAAAGAAAGAAAAACAATCAAGCACACTCTGTATAATACTATATACCCGCTTGCATTTAGCTGCAAAACTTTTCGTCGGCTTTTTCACTTAGTCTCTGGCTTTGCTGCTTCCCCTCTCCCCCTCCAGATGTGCCAACAAATATCTGGCCCGGCCCGGCAGTCGCTTATGAATTTTCAAGATAAACGACTGCCATTTTTTATCTTTTATGTCATGCCTAGATTCGAATATTTTATTATATTTGATTTTGTTTAATACCCAGCAATAAAAACTTGTTAAAGAGTCGACAAGCATAAATGCCAAAATAATATATGAAAAGTTACAAATTGCAATGCCAAACGGAAGTTTTTCTGGAAGTGAAAGCACACAAAATATATTCTCTTAATTTCTTTTTAGTCTAAGCTTAAATTTGAATTTAAAATTTGGTTATTTTAGAAACATTTTCAATCTGCAACTTATCAATTTTGAAAGTTTATATATTTAGGTGATATGCTCCAGTCGTGCTCTTAGGCAGTTTGTTCTCAATGGCTCTCAGTTGGCAAATGCTTTAAATTTGAAGCAGGCTTCAGGCGCACAAATTGTTCACAACTTTTGGCTGCTCGAAAGTTGCGACTTAGATATAAACGGAATTTGTAGGAATTTTTAAGTGTTGGAAAACGAGTGCTTAGAAGAGAATCGATTGAAGCAATTGCTACTCAATGCAAAAGGTATTTCAATGGCATTTGAATGTGAATACAAAAAGCATTTGGCTGGCGTTTAAATATATTAAATAAATATTCATAATTTCAAAATAGTATATATATACATATTCTTCTCTTTCTTTTGCTGCTAGAAGATTTTCCTTTGATTAATGCGCGGCTTGTTTTAAATGCCAACTTAAAAGCCCTTATTAATTAATGTCCTATTTCAGAGGTCTGCAGTCTAGAGTCGAGTCGAGTCGGTTTGAGTTTGCTAAGCTGCTGCCATTTTAGCTGCCATTAAAGCGCAATAATAGGCTCTGCCAGTGTTAGTCAACGTCTTCGGTTGGCAGCTGGCCAAGCGTTGACAATATGGCCAAAGTGGCCTGCGCCACTATCTATGTCTGCGCGTCCCTCTCTCCGTCTGTCTGCCTGTGTATGTCTCCGTCTGAGCACAATGGAGCAGAGAAAGGCATAGAGAATGACGCATTTGGGTGCAAGTGGCATGTGGCCTCATGCGGAAGTTGTTAATTTGACGCACAAAAGGCGTCGTTGTTGAGCACCAAAATGGGCACAAGTGGCGCCTCAGTGCAACAGGGCGTATACGTAATTACTCCTAGACTGACGTATATTACACAGCTGCACAGTCACAGTCACAGCTACAGCTGCCGCTGTGTATCGGCTCTGCCGTCTAGTTAACGTGCAACTTGTTGCCATGGCAGGCATAGGTCAACACTGGACAACGGCGCAATATCCAATAAGACTTTGCCAATAAAGACTGCGCAGTTTATTGGCAAATGCATGCAGCAGAAATGGGTGGGAAAAAAGACAACTTTGGGTGGTGCAGCTGGCTTAGGTGGTTCTAGCTTAACGCCTGGTGGCACGTAGCCGGCTGCCAGATGGCCAAACGAGCAGTCAGGTAAATGGCCACAACACAAACAACTAATTAAAGTAATTTATTCTAATTGCACGTACATTTTTTGCTCATTTTCCCGTGGACAATGTGTTGTTATTTACCTTTTCTCCCTTTATAGCCTATAAAAAGTCGTTTGTTTCCATGCGCAAGTTTTTATAGAAGTTAAAATAAATGAAATTGTGCTTAATACTAACAGTTTGTAATATCTAATGTTGAATTCATTATAGTTTTAAAAGCAAACTTATATATATAAATTTATATTTTGTATTTTATATATGTTTTTTTTTGCTGACTTTCCTTATCTGACTCTGATATACCCTTTTCCCCTTTCTATTTCTGTAACTTCATATGATAATTTCCATGTACTGAATCTATTGATCTTGCACTTCGATTTCTGAATCTATGTTTTCAATTTCTCTCGCTCTCTGTTTCTATCTCTCTCTTATATCTCACTCTTTATTCTTCTGACTGCTGTCCTGCGTCTTTCGTTCGCTCTCTCTGTATATCTGTCTCGTTATATCTCTCGCTTAGTTTCTCCATTTCTCTGTCTTCTTGTCTATCTCTACATATTTCTCTCTCTTTCTTTCTTTCTCCCTATCTTTCTCGCAACTTCTCTCTCTGTCTTTTTTCTCTTTATCTTCCTTTCTCTGCATATATATATCTCGTTATCTCTCTCTTTCATTCACTCTCTCTCTCTCTCTCTCTCTCTGTATCTCTGCCTTTATATCTCCCGCTCACTCTCACTATTTCTTTGCCTTCATGTTTATCTCAACCTCTCTCTCTCTCTCTACCTCGCAATCTCTCTCTCTTTCTCTCTCTATCTCCCTTTCTCTGCATACACATATCTCGTTATATCTCTCTCTCTCTCAATCTCCATCTCCTCCTCTCTCTCCTTCTCTTTCTCTGCATATATATATCTCGTTATCTCTCTCTCTGTTTCCCTCTCTCTCTCTCTCTCTCTCTCTCTCTCTCTCTCTCTCTCTCTCTCTCTCTCTCTGTGTATCTCTTCCTTTATATCTCTCGCTCACTCTCACTATTTCTCTGCCTTCATGTTTATCTCAACCTCTCTCCCTCGCAATCTGTCTCTCTCCCTTTCTCTCTCTATCTCCCTTTCTCTGCATACATATATCTCGTTATATATCTCTCTCTCTCAATCTCCATCTCCTCCTCTCTTTCTCTGTATATATATATATATATATCTCCGTTCCGCTCCCTGTCTCTTTCAGTCTCTTTTCCTCTGTCTCCTTCACTATCCATTACCCCATCTCTCCCTTATCTTTGTCTCTTCTCTTCACTACCTCTGTCTTTCCGTCCCGTTATCTCTTCAAACTCTTAATCTCACTTCCAGCTTTTGTGTTTTAATATTGAAATAGGTCTTAAGCAATTCACTTTAACAATTGGAATGCTCAGGTGCCACTTAAATAAATGCCTTGTTATTTACACTAAGTTTCTCAAGTTCACTCAACGCCTGCCAAAGAATAAAATAAAAATGCTGCTACTTAAATATTTACAATTCAATTTTTGAGAAGGCACAACGATAACGAGTCGACAGTGGGCTTTCAAATGTACACAGAGGTGGATTGCAGCGGCGCATTATAAAATATTCAGGTTTATGCAAGCATGTAAATGCCAACGACGACAGAGAGCGGCCGGCAGACAGAGGCAGAAGGAGAGAGAAAGAGAGGGCGAGCAAGTCAAGAGACTTTGCATGACTTTCACTTGCTGTGCCTGCCCACGGGAGCAACCGGTTGAAAGTCAAAATACTTTCAGCTGTGTGTCCTAAGAACATGCACAAAATGGCCTACTTGCCTCCTGCCACCTGCAACTTGGCCTGGCTTCTGCTTGACTTTTGCGACCAAGTCCAAGTCGAACATAATGAAGCATGCCACGGCGGGCTGTGCGGCAAGCCGCAAGGCCCGCTTACAATTACAGTTGCTCGGCTTTCGGTTCATGTGGTTTATGCCATTCTCATCTATCGCATCGTATAGATATATGTATATATATATATATATATACAGGTATACCATATCGTATCTAGCTCGAGGTTGATAGAAAGACACAAAAGCTGCTTTTGGCATTTAACATAACCGAGAGGCTGTTTTCCGTTCTTGCGACAGTGCATATCCTGCATCCTTGAGCTAAAAACGTATGGCCGCGCGTGCAGCCAAATCTTCGTTATGGAAACGTCCTTTGCATTCGAGCTATTAACATGTCCATAGCTGTCCAATTCCACAAATTGGTCGTCCATCAAATCGGAAGTCCCTACCCCCCATTAGACCATTGTACGTGACCGACGAGCGCAAACAGTGCACTGCACATTACGCAAAACCTGAGCGGGCTAGACGAGGGCTCGGCGTCCTTCTATGCAGGCAATAAATAAATTAAATAACACTAGACTTCAGTTTAGTTGGGACTGGTCTATAAACAAAGCTGGTGGTCGGTGCACGGCGAGCGCTGCAACTGCAACTGCAACAAAGCAAAAGCTTTCAAGTGCTTCAACACAAAAACAGCTATAAAAATAAAATAAATATAAAATTTAATTAAAAATAAAAACAAAGTGAACAAACCTGAAGCTCGACAGCCAAAAAATTTAATTTTGTTTAAATTAGTTTTTTGCGTGTTTCGCCTGCGAACAGGCATCGCCCGGCACATGAGCACGAATAGCCGCAGCAGTCAGGCGATTTTGAGTAAGCGAAAATGTTGTTGGCATTTTAATTAGAGTTGTGCATTAGTTCAAATGAACGGAGTCATTCAAATGAGCTATTGAACCAGTGCTGTGATTAGTGAATCAAATGTTTCCATAGACCATATTCAATTTAGTTCATAAGTTGTTGACTCTTTCAGTTGACCGTTTCATGAATCGTTTATGAGCTGATTTTTAGAATGTGAACTCTTGTGAACCATTCTCGATTCATAAATGAACAATTGATTAGCAAACCGAACTGGAGCTCACAACTCTGGTTGCATTTATGTTTATGAAATCGCCTTTGTTGCTGGGCGCATTTAAATAAATTACGAGTGCATTCGTACGCAAAGTTTGTGTGGCACAGAAACTTTTTAATAGAGTTCTTGGCTTGTGAAGCATTCGAGCGTTGCTTAAAGCGCAACTCGAATGAACGAAAAGTTTTTGGAGCAACTTTCAGTTGCGGCAACTTGTGGCAATTAGCAGCTGTACATGGAGATATACATATTTATCTATGTTTACCACACAAATTGTTCACTGATTGCACCATAAAGATTTGCACATTCAATTGCTATTGGAATTGCAATTGAAATTTAAATTGAAATTGAAATTGAAATTTAGATTGAGATTGAAATCGAAACGGCCTCAAGATATCGGACCGCACGGATAGTTTGTGGCAGTCGACAGCTGCCAGCATGCCAGCAGCTGTTGGCCAGCAGCGGCATGCAGCACGATCAATGCAACAGCAACAACAATTCATGCCACAGCACTCGCACCAGCACCAGCACCAGCGCACCAACGCCAACGGCCAACGTGCCAACACCTTTTCGAACAACTATAACAACAAAATGCTGAACAGCAACCACAGCAGCCAGCGCGAGATAAGTGCGTCGCCACGTCGCGTGGCACTCGATACAACTGCGTCTGGGTCGACGACAGGCTTTGGCTTTAGTCGAGGTAAGCTGTGCATGCAAACCTCCAAATTAGCTAAGAGTTCAACGGTGAGTTAGGTGGAGAGAGAGAGAGAGAGAGGGATAGAGAAGGTAAATCTTTGCTAATCATGTTTGCCAGATTCCTAATCAGATGAGATTTGTGTTGTACTTAAAGTGAGAGAGAGATGTTATACGAGAGAGGGGGAAAGAGCTCGATATGAAAGTGAGAGCAGTAGTCTATAAGGGAGAGAAAATGGAGAGAGTTAGAAAGAGAGAGCGACAACTGCTTGAGCTAATGTATGTTCGAGAGATAAAGTGAGGAGCAGTAGCTGCAAGTAACCAATGTAAATGAGAGAGAGAGAGAGAGAGAGATAAAAAGAAGTAGGTATGTGGAAGAAAGAATGAAGAGAGTGAGAGTTATGTATGCTAGAGAGAGAGAGAGAGAGAGAGAGAAGTAGGTATGTGGAAGAAAGAATGAAAAGAGTGAGAGTTATGTATGCTAGGGAGAGAGAAAGAGAAAGAAGTAGGAAGCGGAAGTAGTAAGAAGTAGTTGTAGGAAGAAAGAAGAGAGTGAGAGTTATAGATGCTAGAGGGAGAGAGAGAGAGAGAGAGAGAGCAATAGCTTGTAGTTATGTATGTGTGAGAGAAAGAGTAAAGTAGTAGCTACACGTCATTTATAAGAATGAGAGAGAGAGGGAAGAAGAGAGATAGAGTAGTAGACATGGAGAAATACCTATTTGAGAGAGTTCTAGTGAGTTGTCATATATTACACAGTGAATAGAAGCGAGTCTTGCTTCTATGAGCTGTATGTAGTAGGTATATAGCAGAGAGTAGTGTGTAAAAGCTAAGTCAGACTAGGTTCCCATGACTTCTACCTGCTTGAGATTGAGTAGAAGTGAATGCTGATTAAATGCGAGTGCATTACAATGAGTAGTACCGTCGAAGTAAATAAAATGAGTATTTTATGCGTAGTAATAGAACAAATATCACTGAGTACAGCTCTTTTTCAATCAAGATAAACGAGTGATTAGCAATCAGTAGTATTTATGCATACCCGACTAAGTATTACTATTAATGAGTTCTGCTCATGTAATTCACTGCTGAAATGAATATCGATAAGTACTGTTTATATGCTTTAGAGTAGCACTAAGAAGTCGACCTAATATAAAATTGAATTGTTATGAATAGCAAAAACTAGTTGCGTCATATACAACTGAATAATTTAGAATAATAATAATTGTGAGTAATTTGAAGCTATTCACTCAATATGACTCTAATAAGGGACTGAATATGCTAATGAATGGGCGTGGTAAGGGAGTAATGGTAAGAGATAATGAGCTGCTTCGAGTGGCATAATCAAAAGGCATGAGTAATGCAAACATATTTCAAATAAGTAGGTGAAGCTCGGATAATTGAGCTACATATATGATTACTTCTCTTATAGGTTAAAGAGTAGGGATTTATAAGGCCAATGCGAGCAGATTAAGCGAGTTGTTAAGAGTGAAAGAGTAGGTATATGATGCAGAAGTGAATTTGAGGTATTAAGAAGTTTTATCTAAGAGTGCAAGCTGATAACAAGCTAAACACATTTATAAAATATGCACAATATTATTCAGGAATATCGACTTATTGTAATATGCATCAACAATACAGAAGCTAAAATTCACATGAATATTTAACGTAATTGAATGCGCATCTGCATCGCTTATTGTTAACGAATTACACGCATTTTTTGCATCATTAAATCAACGAGGGTCTTTTTAAATTAATTACTGTGGTTCGTCGCAGTTGATATTTCATTTTCATTTACCATTTGCCATTTTGCCGTTACCCCGTTTCCATTTACCTTTTTGGCCGATTTTTCACATTTTCCTTCGCTTCTCGCTCTGCCTGTGAGGACATTTTTACTTGGACTGGCAAAGGCAATGCACTCAAGTGAAATATGTTTTAAAATTGCCGAGGCGTGTTTGGCAGCGTCAAGTGGTGCTGTTGCTGCTGCTGCCAGAGGGGGAGCTGCTGAGCGAGACATGTGTGCAAACACACATTTCCGTTGCATGCAGCGCCACATCCGACGTTGATAATTAAGTTTTGCTTCCGTAGCAAGGGGGAGGCAAGCTAAAGGACAGACTAGTCTGGGCAGTGACGCGCATTAAGTCAGCCATAAAGCAACCGCACACCACATATACTGCACCACCCTGTGCTTGTTGGCCTGCGCTTTAATTGATTTTCCAGTTGGCCACGTTATCAGCATTTGCCTGTTTGGCAGCTGTCGTTTGCTGTCTGCTGTCTGCTGTCTGCTGTTTGCTGCTTGGTTTGTCCTTTTTTGTCTGTATTGCAAAATCAATTGTTTGTGCACGTTTTACATATCCTGTTCGTCATGTCCTTCTCAACTTAAAGCTACGTTAACGCACAAGTCAATTAACTGACCCCAAAGTGCACGACAGCTACGCGGCTCATATAAACAAGCGTCTTAATTGTTGTCAAGGGGCTAATCAGCGTGGAGAGTTGGGAGTTCTCTGAAATCTATAATGAATGAATTCAGCTTAAGCTGAATTAATGGCTTAATAGAGAAGACTTGGTGAACATTAATCTGCACTTTATATATAAAACCTCATTAGATGCTGAGAATATTCATATTCTTTGCTTCTTTAATAAAACTTTCCATATTACTTAGTTTTAAAGCAAATCATTTCATTAAGTGTTCACTCGTTTTCAACATAACCTCATACATACAGTCACGCACACACACACACACACGCGCACACATATGAGCACTCACACTCATACACGTACAGCAATATTTCATGGCTCGTCCCAATATCAAAGGACACTCACAGAGCCACACGACATAATCGGAAGCAAGAGCACAAAAAAGGCGCAAAGATAGCCAACAACAAAATAAAAAATAAAACAAGTGAAAAAATTAAATGTGAAGAGTCGAATATTGAATACGCTTCAATATAAATTTATACAAAAAGAAGCTAAAAAACTCGAATGCTCAACTTATCTTAATTAGGCTATATGGAGTCGAGCGTCGAGTAAGATGAACTTCAGATATATAATAAGTAAGCTTATAGGACCTATATTTGCTGTTTGACTGAACCACTAAGTAATTGATTAACAACAACAGCTGATGATTTAGTTATATTTTAATTTAAAATAAATTCGAAATTGATATAAATAAAATCATTAAAATATTTAAAAAAATAATATTTTAGCTATTTGAAATAACAAAAATGAATTATTTCAAGTTTATTTTATTTATTATTTTTTTTATTTATTATTTTTATTATTTTATTTATTATTTTACTTATTTTATACATTATTATTTTATATATTTTTTTATTATTATATAAACTGTCAAATTTAAATTCATTTCTAATATTTAAACAAGTTTTATTCACTCATAAAGCAAAAACAATAACTAAACATAAATACCCTAAGTGAGAGCATTAAAAAACGAAGTGCAAAAGAAATTTTGCGACAGTTGCTGCCGATGTTGGCGCCTGACATTCATTTGATATATCTGTGTGTGAGTGTGTCTGTGTGTGTGCGTATATAGTTGTAGCTATATGTAACTATGCCACTGAATAAGCGTAACTGGGAAGCAGGGAAGTCCGCTTTGATAAAGTCATTTCATGTTCATGCCCAGCAGCAGGTCGATGAAAAGGCTGCGGCAGTGGCTCGACCAACTCCTGGACGAAAACCAGAAGCAGAACCTGGCAGACGCGCTAAATTATTGTCGAGCATTTGCAGCATTTTTCTCATTTCTCATTTTTCATTTCGTTTTTTTTCTTCTTTCGTCTTCATTTTATTGCCAAGAAACGTGTCGTCAATGAGTGCAGGGTTATGAATTATTGATTGGATGCCCAGCTGGACATTTAGGCCAGTGGGTGTGACAACGATTAATGCCGAGCCTCTGTCCAAGAGCAGTGCAATTAGTGAGTAGCCTCTGATTGCAGTTTGCTTTATCTCTCTGTGTAATGGTGTGTGGGCGGGACTTTCCCCATGCGGCTGCTGGCCCCAAACTAAAGCTGAAATTCAACCTCAATTTCAACTTCAACTTCAACTTCAACTTCAGCTTTAACTTTCAATCCGACTTTTCGACAACGTCCATTTCGCTGGGGGCCAATCAGCTTCATAAACTGAATGCGCATATTTTATGTTGGTCGAGCTGAATATATTTCACTGCGCTTTCATATTTTATGAGCGAAGGCGAATGCGAGCGAGCGAGAGGCTGGGCGAAAAGCCAGCCAAAAGATAAAGAACTAATAGAATTGTGAGTGAAGGCGCTTGGGCAATCTGAGCTGCCTCATATGAAACTATCAATAACTGATATACCCTGTAAATATCAATGATAAAGAGTTTATCCACAGTTCAGTGAGTACAGAATAAACTTCATACTGCTGCATAAGCAGACGAGTCTGTCTGACTATTTTAGGTAGACTGTTGAAATTATTGATAGCTGATAATATACCCTGTAATTGCCTATATAAGTCAGTAATATAAATTTTCTAAATGTCCTATAATTGTAATAGAGTTCTTAAAAGAGAAGCATTTTTTTCGGTCTCTCAATAACCCATAAAATTCTCCGAAAATATGCATAGTACAGGGTATATTTACAGATACTAAAAAACATAAGCATCATTATATACTTTTATTACTCAGGGTATAGTCTATAGATTTGGAATATTAGTTCTGCCTGTGCTTAAGCCGACAACTTCCTCCAGGGTATCTGCTAGTCACATACTTTCATCAATTGCTTAACCTTTTTTATATGTAATTTCAATGTGAAGTTTGTTACGTGAGTCGCTGTTCAACTATTCATGACTGCAACAGTTGTAAAAGTTGGTTTTCGAGTGGGGACTATGGGGCGTATGAGCAATTGCTGTTATCTGTTCTGAGTGTGTGTGTATGTAGCACAAAATGTGCTACAAGCGCCCACAAGTTGTAAGTCGAGTTGTTGCTGTAGCTGTTGTGGCAATGTTCAAGCGAACATTTGCTTGACTTCCAGCTACATAATAG